GATCATCCAACTCAGTAGCAACCCCTTTGCCTCACCAGTGCTGCTGGTAAAGAAAAAGGATAGTTCATGGAGGTTTTGTGTGGATTACAGACAGTTAAATGATCTGACAGTGAAAAATAAGTTCCCTATGCCCCTTATTGATGAACTGTTGGATGAATTGCATGGCTCCAAATATTTCATCAAAATTGACCTCAGAGCAGGGTATTTCCAGATAAGAGAAAGGGAGGAAGATATCCCTAAAACAGCTTTCAGAACACACCAAAGACTATACGAATTCAAAGTCATGCCATTTGGACTGACCAATGCACCTGCAACTTTTCAAGGATTGATGAACCAGGTATTCCAGAAACAACTAAGGAAGCATGTATTAGTATTTTTTGATGACATACTAATCTACAGCCCTACACTGGAGAAGCATGTCCAGCATGTTACTGAAGCCTTATAAATTCTAAGGCAACACCAACTCTATGCTAAGGAGAGCAAGTGCTCCTTTGCTCAGAAGCAAGTAGAATATCTAGGCCATATCATTTCAGCAGATGGAGTGAGAGCTGACCCCAAGAAGATTGATAGCATGATGCAGTGGCCAAGACCAGGGAACACCAAACAGCTAAAGGGATTCCTAGGACTGACAGGTTACTACAGGAAATTTGTCAAGGGATATGGTGCTATTGCCAAACCCCTAACCACCCTCCTCAAGAAGGATGGCTTCAACTGGGGGGAGGAGGCTGAAGATGCTTTTCAGAAGCTCAAGTTAGCTATGTGCAGCACCCCTATACTAGCTCTTCCAGACTTCTCTCAACCCTTTATAGTAGAAACAGATGCCTGCTATGGGGGAATAGGAGCTGTACTAATGCAGAACAGGAGACCATTGGCTTTTCTCAGTCAAAGCTTGGGGCAGAAGAATTTGGGACTGTCAATCTATGAAAAAGAACTACTGGCCTTAGTCACAGCAGTCACTAAGTGGAGGCACTACTTGAAGGGTCACCATTTTATCATCAACACTGACCACCAAAGTTTAAAGTACCTATTGGAACAAAGGATCACCACCCCCCTCCAACAGAAGTGGCTGACTAAACTAATGGGATTAAGCTATGAGATAAGCTACAAGAAAGGAAAGAAAAATGTAGTAGCTGATGCCTTCTCCAGGATAGGGAAAGAGGAAGCTGAGTGTGCAACAACTACCACAGTTATACTAGAATAGATGAAAGAGGTAATGGAAAGCTATCTGGGAGATGACTGGGCTGAGGACCTCATCAGGGGAATCTTAGCATCCCCAGGACAGGCTTCAGACTACAGCTATCAGAGTGAAATTCTAAGGTATAAAGGGAGAGTTGTAGTTGGGAAGGGGGGAGAAATAAGGAAGACACTCATCACTGCCCTTCATGACTCACAGCTAGGTGGACATTCAGGCATACAGGCCAGCTGGATGAGAGCTAAACAGTTATTCCATTGGCCAAGTATGTTCAAGGAGATCAAGGCAGCAATATTGCAATGTGATACCTGCAGGAAATGTAAAGATGAACGTGTGGCCTACCCATGCCTACTCCAACCACTCCCTATTCCACAGCATTCTTGGAGTCATGTCACCATGAATTTCATGGAGGGGTTACCCAAATCCGAAGGGAATGACACTATCCTAGTTGTATTAGACAGGTTTACTAAGTATGCTCACTTCATAAGTTTGGCTCACCCTTTTGATGCCACCAAGGTAGCTAGGATTTTTCTGGACCATGTCAGTAAGCTACATGGCATCCCTCAGAGCATGATCTCAGACAGAGATAAGATCTTCATCAGCCAGTTCTGGACAGAGCTGTTCACATTCCTGGGGGTAGGACTAAACCTGATTACAGCCTACCATCCTCAAACAGATGGCCAAACAGAGAGAGTCAACCAAGTATTGGAAATGTATCTTAGGTGTATGACACACCTGGAACCTAAGAGATGGAACACATGGCTATCCTTGGCTGAGTGGTGGTATAACACTACCTACCACACTGCTGTCCAGATGACCCCCTTTGAAGCTTTGTATGGATCCAAGCCTCCACAGCTAGCTCTTGGCCCCTATGAACAAGCTAAGGTAGCCACAGTGGGTGATTATATAAGGGACAGGAGACAGATGGATGAGCTATTGCAGCATAACCTGAAGATTGCTCAAGAGAGGATGAAAAAGTATGCTGATGAACACAGGAGTGAGAGGGAATTCCAAGTAGGTGATTGGGTGTACTTAAGACTACAGCCTTACAGACAATCAACTGTGATGGTCAGGAATAATACCAAGTTATCTGCCAAGTACTTTGGCCCCTACCTCATAGAAGAGAAGATTGGAAAGGTTGCTTACAAGCTTAAACTACCTACTGCATCCAGGATACACCCTGTATTTCATGTATCCTTGCTAAAGAGGAAGCTGGGGGACAAGACTACCCCTATCCTACAACTACCAGACACTGATGAAAGGGGGCTAATTAGAGTGGAACCAGAGACCTTGTTAGGTAGGAGAATGTTCAAGAGGGGGAACGCTGCTGTAACACAATGGTTAATCCAATGGTGGGGAACTGAACCAGCAGACGCAACCTGGGAGGATGCTGTGATGATTAGGGAGAAATTCCCTCAATTCCAACCTTGAGGACAAGGTTTGCTGCGAGGGGGAGGTATTGTGATGGAGTAGAGAAGCTAACTAAAGATGGAAGCAAGACTTAGGTAGCAGGAACAAAGAAGGCGTGAATGTCAGAAGTAGAAAGGCGCGATCACTAGGCAAAACAATTACAAAAGGTGTGAGTAAGCAGAAACCAGGAAGCAAGAACATGAAGGCGTGGATACCAAGAGCTGAAGGCGTGGACATTGGTTCAAGAGGTTGTCAAAAGCGTGGCCGACGAATCACGCCTTTCCTGGGGTTTCAGTTGTTCTAACAGAACTTCTAGCGCGGCAACTTGTAGATGCAATAAGACACATGTTTTGCTTTTATTGGCCTAGTTAGTAATCTGTTAGGATTTGTTAGCTTTATAAGAGGCCTCTCTGCTCAAGTAGCAGGCAGTTTTTGAATTATTCAATCGTGATTGGTTGCTTTAGCTTGAGGAGCAATCCTCATTTTCCCTCCGAAACCTTCCTTCAATCTTTCCCCTTCTTAGCTAAATCCATTATTTCTGTTCTTGTAATTCGTTTCCAGAATTCAATTGATGAAAGCTGAAGTTCATTCGTTCGCTATTCCATTGATTCATTGTTCATTGATTTCATTCCATTAAGTTTGATTTATTTTGCTTCCTGCAAATTCTGGCTACTCTGGTTTCTGGACCATAACAATATTAATCTATTAAAATATTATGAAAAGTTTATAAGGGCTAGTGGTTAGGGAGTTGAACAGACAGACTGGGGATCGACCCTAATTACGACTTGCATTTTCTGCCTTTTTTTCCAGAAGAACCATCTTTTTTTATGTGCTTTCCTTTTCAATGGGTAGTAAACGCTACCCATTCCTGCTTGCTCGATGCAGTAGCACCATTTTTATGTAGTCTTTGGATTTGTTATTTGTCACTATGAATGACTGATTAATCATGAACTATAGCATGTCAAGCTATATTTGAAGTACTTACAAGAGAATGTTATAGTCGCAAATTTATGGTAATTGAATATTTGAATGGGTATGCCTTCGAAGTAAGAGCAATAAAACTAAATATAAATAGTTGAATAATTAATCAAACTTTTTTTTGTAGCACAATGAGTTGTCAATCATCACCTTAGCAAATCAATTATTCTTGTTTACATAATGGTATGACTTCTTTATGTGGGCATTGAAATGATTATTATACTTTTGTTATCGAAATATGTTGCATTTATGAAAAAAAGGGAAAACAAAAGGAAAAGCAAAAAAAAAAAAAAAAACCAATTGAAGGGTCACTTTTGTCCCTTAAAATTTTAAAGGGGATAAAGTGATGATAAATGAACTTAAGAGGAGGAAAGTGACACAAGGGTGTAAATTACGGGATGAAGTGTAATTTACCATTTTCCCCCTTGCCCATCTGTTTCACATTCTGTGATAAGAGTTCTAGCAACAAATAACTGATGACATTTTTTTCTTTTTTTTACAGCCAAAGAAAATAATTATGATAAGAGTTCTTAACATAATCAAATGTGCAACACATAAAGCAACGGTTAATGTGAAAGTAACGATTAATGTGAAAGGCATTCTCTCAATCATTTGCAATGTCAAGGAATTAAAGGACACTACATGGGGTAGAAAAACAACAAGGAAATATTAATGTATTAAAGTATTATGAAAGGGAGTTGAACACTTGTCTTGACAGACTAGGGATCGACCCTAATTACGACTTGCATTTTCTGCGTTTTTTTTCCAGAAGAACCATCGTTTTTTATGTGCTTTCCTTTTCAATGGGTAGTAAACACTTCCCATTCCTTCACACTCGATGCAGTAGCACCATTTTTGCTTATTACCACACTTGTTATTGGTTGCATGTAGATGTTTAGCCAACAAATGATGTTCATATATTACAACTTTAATTTTATTCATTAACACACTTGTGAATACAATTAACGCATTGATATTACTAACATGAATAGTTTTATTGAAAACTTACCCTGCAACTGTTAGTTACAGATATTATTAGTCTTTTTCTTATTTCAATTCATGTTATGAGGGTTTGGTTGCGTTCATTTCTTACTGTTTCGTAATGATTTTAATGTCTTTTATTACCTTATCTTTATGAAACTTAACTAAAATTTTTTACCCTCATTGTTGACATCAAGCACGTTTTTTACTAGCTAATAGAATATGTTCTTTTATGAACTCTGTTTAGTTCAAGTGCATCAAAATTTTTCTGTTTATTGAACAAATCAGAGTTCTTTTTCCTTACTTCATAAGATATATTTTATATCTACCTACTGTTTTAGCTTTGGTTCCCATTGTGACTCTACACTTATGTCCACCAATGGATGCCAGAACAATAGTTATATTTATTGGATTTTTCTAATGGGTGCCATAGGCAGGCATGGCCACGGTTCCAGAACTGACAGTTATGGTTCTTCAAATAGGTAGAACCAAAACTGCACCATCTAAGATGGTTCTGGTTCTGGTTTCAGAATCGCGGGTTCTGGTTTTGGTTCCAGAAAAGGTTCTTCAAAGAAGTAGAACCAGAATCGCATAGTTCTGATTTCGGTTCCTTATGGTTCTGGTTCCGTATGGTACCCTACAATTTTATTTAATTCTTTATCCTTACCAATTTTAATACGAATATAACAATATATTTAAAATTTCAAATAGAATGTACAAAAATAAATACAAAATAAAGATCATATTTTAATTTTATTATTATTCTACAAAGTAAGAAGTAATAAATAGACAATACAAATTTTATGAAAAGTACATTACATTATCAAATTAAAAAAATACATTACACTATCAAATGGTTGTCATGTGTTGACTTTCTTGAGTTGGACAATCATCAATGTTGAAGATTTCATTTGAAGAAATATTGCAAAAAATATTTTTTTGCTTGCTTGATTTTGAAGATGAGCTACTACCATCAAAGCTTGCCATTTTTTGATAGTAAATAAGCAAAAAAAAAAATTTGTAAGTAATAATTTAATACTTACAAATTATAATGATAGATATTAGACGAATAGAAATAATTAAATAATTAGTAAAATATATAGAAAGTCCATAAAATTTAAACTTTCTTAAAACCTATTAAACACAACTAATTTTTTTGAATTATCTCACTACTTATATTAATTATTTTTAACAGTTCTGGAACTGGCGGTTTTGGTTCTGGTTTTGGTTCTATTTTTTAGAGAACCAGAACCGGAACTGGAACCTTTATCCAAGGTTCTACCACGGTTCTGGTTCCATGGTTCCGGTCCGGTTCCCGTTTCCAAATGGAACCATGGCCATGCCTAGCCACAGGGCACTCATTAACACACCTAACATTAATCTAATCTATCATGTATATGCACATACTAATAATTATTACCCTCTTTTGTGTTTTTATATTTGTTCCTATTTAATCTTATCTACCCTTTCTCGTATTTATTTATTTTTTCTAATTAATTTTACATTTTCAAAAATATGATATCTAAAATATATCTTAATGAATGCCCTATGAGCAACCCGTTAGACAGATCCATATTTATTTGGGATAATTTCAGATATCTCCCTTGAGGTTTCAAACAATTTCAGAGAGCTCCCCTTAAATTTTAACAGTTACATCCACCACTCTTGCTTTCACTATTTATGCTTCAAAATAGACCCAATAGCATACATTTTTCGTCATATATATCTTAAACTACCCTTTCTGCCAAAAAAAAAAAAGGAAAAAGATTTTTGTTTTATCTCTCAGACAAAGGGTTACTGAACTTGAAGAAGAATGCAACTTGAAAAATAAGGAAGTGGAATTTGCAACTGTCAGGAAAGAAGAAGCTCTTGCTGCTGCTTTATCAGAAATTGCATTTCTAAAAGAGGATTGCTCGGTTAAGACGTCAGTGTTTGACTACCAATATCTTTGTTGGTTCAGTTTGACTTGTGCAGAAACTGCTATGCTGTCTAAACTGATCTTTTTCTGAAATTGGCATATCCAAAATTGAAAAATGTGACTCAACCTCCCAATTCCCAATTCAAAAAGCATAATGCATCAAATGATCTGCAACAGCCACCAGATCCCATGTGTTCTGCTTTTGCCCCCAAGGCTCACTTCAAATGATATGACTTCAAATGATATCTTTGTTTTTGCCGCCTTGAATGGCTAATCATTGTATTATTTGCAGGTCTCAAGTTGCAGTTTTGGAAACACAAATTTCTTCTTTAAAAGATGATTTAGAGAAAGAGCATCAAAAAGCACGTGCTGCTCAAGCTAATTACGAAAGACAGGTTGCCATGATTGTTATAACTGCATTTTACTCTATTGTTTGCTCATTTTTAGATCACCAAAAGTTTTTGGGACTGTATGCCTATGTTCAGTAAGTTGAAGCAGTTTATGTTAAAAGATGCGCTGCCAAAATTCCTGTCCAAACTAGACTTCATAAGAGGATTTGGTTTCAAATGGTAACTGATTGTTTTTATCTTCTGGCATTTGCTCTTAATTCTGTATGTATCAATGAAAAAAGGTGAAAAATTTTCTTTTCACCTTGTATATTATGGTTTTTGCTGTCTAAAGACCAGCTAAGAAGATCTGAGAAAATGACTATACAGTGTTTTCTAAGCATGGACTGGTGAATGGCTTAGTATTCTCATAAACATGTGCTTTCCATCTTTCCTTTGCTTTAACTCCATGAAGAGTTCTTGATCGACATTCACCATGGAAGGTTGAACTTTCACTTGACAACACGGCTATTTGTGCGTGCTGCCATGACATGATTGGCTCTATTGAGTTCTTGGAAAATCTTGTGCTTAGAACCAACGTCTCTTCATTGTTTATTTGGAGCACCGATGGTTTTGATGAATTAGGGTGGTGGCCGGAATTGTTGAGAAAACTTTTGATTTTGCATCCTTTTTTTAGTCTTCTTGATTGATTAAGGTTTGCACCATCCGATTTGTACGTGTTTGGATTTGAAATCTTTGAACTGCCTGAGACCAACTAGCATGAGTTTATTTGAAACTAGAACTTGTTTAGGCGAGTGTGCTCCTGCGTACACTTAATGGACTTGACTGAATATATGGTATCTCTTTTCCGCATGACCAAGTAACTTGATTCGTATATGATCAGTATGTGGATTTGAATTCGGTGACTATTTGAGAATGTGAATTGCTGGGCATAGGCTAATCGAGTGAGTTCTTATTCGTACCTGTGCTCCTTGAACTTGAAGTAATTGATCCTGATTTTAAACTTGTTTCTTTTTTGTTTGACTGTAGACCGGCAACTGCTCCTCTGTAGCGGTTGAACTGAACCTCTCCGGTGGGGCATTGCCTGTTGTATTATAAAGAACCGCCATTCTTCTGGCGAGACATGCCTGTTGCGCTGTCCAGTACCACCAGGGATGAACTTCTTGAACTGAACCTCTCAGGTGAGGCATTGCCTGTTGTGTTATCAAGCACCGCCATTCTTCTGGCGAGGTATGCCTGTTGTGTTGTCCAGCACCGTCAGGGATGAACTTCTTGAATTGAGCCTCTCTGGTGGGGCATTGCCTGTTGTGTTATAAAGCACCGCCATTCTTCTGGCGGGGCATGCTTGTTGTGTTGTCCAGCACCGCCAGGTATGATTTTCCTGAACTAAGGTTCTCTGGTGAAGTATAGCCGTCGTACTAGCTTGTTGTGTTGTCCAGCACCGCCAGGGACAACTTCCTGAACTGAGATTCTTTGGTGAAATATAGCTGTCGTGCTAGCTTGTTGTGTTGTCCAGCTCCGCCAGGGAGTAAAAAATTCTGACTTGAGACTTAGCCATGTCCTGAATTTTTCGAATATCTGGGAATTTATTTCCAACTCAGGGCTAGTTGGTTGAATCGAGCCCTTTTGCATGTTCTTTTTGGTTACTTGTTTAGCTATCAATTGGCTCATTACTAAGTGATATATGGGATTGGAATGATTCGTAGTACTTGACTGACTTTCGAGAACTATCCTGATCTGATTAGTACAAGTTGAAATGTCGAGAACGACATTCTTTCAAGGGAGGAGTTTGTGACACCGAAAGAAGAAGAAAAGGAAAAATTCTGGTGAACAGTTTTCTTAGCAAATCCGGCCGCATATCCGGCCAGTTCTTGGCTGGATACTTGGCCGGATTGGCTTGCTCGTTTGAAAAAAAAATTGACCTGGCTACTGCCTTGAATCCGGCCTCCTATCCGGTCGCATATCCCGCCAGATTCTGTCGTGTACAGCATTCCTTAATGGTTACGTCTTCAGTTTGTGACTTCATTTGTTGTTCAAAGACCAACTTTTCTTTATCTTCAAACTGACCGACCTTCTTGGGAGCAAAAATAAAAAAAGGAACTCCATTCTTTTCCTTTGATTCCTTCACTAAATCTTGATAGATTTCTTTCAATTTTTGAAATCTACTCCGATTAACTTCATATCGAAGGTGATTGCAAGTTAAGGGTGGAGAGTTTTGAGAGGACTAGGATTTGCTTTGCTTGATTTCAAGGTGTTGGAAGGTATAACTCTTAGAAACCCCTTTGTATTCTTGAATCTTGTGATTAAGTTGTTGGATAAGTTGATCTTGATTAATTTTATGGAGTTTCTTGTGATTTGGAAGTTGGGATGATCAAGTTCTATATTAGTTATATTTCTAGATTTTATCTAAGTTATTTCATCCTTGATTTTGGCATGTATATGATTAGATAGAAACTATTCTAGTGTTAAGGTTGCAATTCTAACCTGAATGAAATATTAGTGATGGTTCATATCGCAAGATTAGTTTAACAGACGCGCCATTTCAGTTTTTATCTTGTTTCAGATTCAATTGGACTGCATCAATTTCTCCATGTTCTAGGCCGAACCAGCTTTTTGGAACAAAACATGAATGTGTAAGTAAAATGCTTGGATAGTCTACCCTGCAAATTTTCAGATCCGATTGGAGGACTGTGGCCCTTTAAACCCTGCTTACGCCGCACAGTTTCCATTTTTCTGCAGATATCGATTTTTTGTTCATGAAATGTATGATTGGCTTGGCAGGTTTTATAAGAAATGTTGGCTATATGTCTTAGCTTCGTAACGCCATAAAGAATTCGTTTTCAACCCGATAAGTCATGACTTCAATGTGATTAAAATCCCAAAGGTGTAGGAAGTTTGATGATGATTTTAGATTTTCCCTTTTACTGACATGCATATTTTGTTGATCTAGGGCTTGGACTTTGCAGCAGACAATGATCTTATGAATGGCATGAGATTCATTTGAGTTGATGGTTGTGTGATGTGATTTCCAGCAACTATTTTCAAAGTTACTTTCGAACTAATTCTTGCATTGGTTAACTCGCCATTGCATATCATTTGTGTTTGTGCGTGTGCCATGACATGATTTGGCTCTATTGAGTTCTTGGAAAATCTTGTGCTTAGAACCAACGTCTCTTCATTGTTTATTTGGAGCACCGATGGATTTGATGAATTAGGGTGGTGGCCGGAATTGTTGAGAAAACTTTTGATTTTGCATCCTTTTTTTAGTCTTTTTGATTGATTAGGTTTGCACCCCATCCGAATTTGTACGTGTTCTGGATTTTGAAATCTTTGAACTGCCTGAGACCAACTAGCATGAGTTTTATTTGAAAACTAGAACTGGTATTAGGCGAGTGTGCTCTCTGCGTACACTTAATGGACCTTGACTGAATATATGTATCTCTTCTTCCGCATGACCAATAACTTTATGATTCGTATATTGATCAGTATTAACATGGATTTGAATTCAGCGTGACATGTTTGAGATGTGAATTGCTGGGCATAGGCTAATCGAGTGAGTTCTTATTCGTACCTGTGTTCCTTGAACTTGAAGTAATTGATCCTGATTTTAAACTTGTTTCTTTTTTGTTTGACTGTAGACCGGCAACTGCTCCTCTGTAGCGGTTGAACTGAACCTCTCCGGTGGGGCATTGCCTGTTGTATTATAAAGAACCGCCATTCTTCTGGCGAGACATGCCTGTTGCGCTGTCCAGTACCACCAGGGATGAACTTCTTGAACTGAACCTCTCCGGTGAGGCATTGCCTGTTGTGTTATCAAGCACCGCCATTCTTCTGGCGAGGTATGCCTGTTGTGTTGTCCAGCACCGTCAGGGATGAACTTCTTGAAATTGCGAGCCTCTCTGGTGCGGGCATTGCCTGTATTGTGTTATAAAAGCACCGCCATTCTTCTGGCGGGCATGCTTGTGTGTTGCTCCTAGCCACCGCCCAGCGTATGACTTTTCAACCTGAACTAAGAGTTCTTCTGGTGAAGTATAGCCGTCGCTACTACCTTGTTGTGTTGTCCAGCACCGCAGCGGACAACTTCCTGAACTGAGATTCTTTGGTGAAATATAGCTGTCGTGCTAGCTTGTTGTGTTGTCCAGCTCCGCCAGGGGGTAAAAAATTCTGACTTGAGACTTAGCCATGTCCTGAATTGTTCGAATATCTGGGAATTTATTTCCAACTCAGGGCTAGTTGGTTGAATCGAGCCCTTTTGCATGTTCTTTTTGGTTACTTGTTTAGCTATCAATTGGCTCATTACTAAGTGATATATGGGATTGGAATGATTCGTAGTACTTGACTGACTTTCGAGAACTATCCTGATCTGATTAGTACAAGTTGAAATGTCGAGAACGACATTCTTTCAAGGGAGGAGTTTGTGACACCGAAAGAAGAAGAAAAGGAAAAATTCTGGTGAACAGTTTTCTTAGCAAATCCGGCCGCATATCCGGCCAGTTCTTGGCTGGATACTTGGCCGGATTGGCTTGCTCGTTTGAAAAAAAAATTGACCAGGCTACTGCCTTGAATCCGGCCTCCTATCCGGTCGCATATCCCGCCAGATTCTGGCCAGATTCTGTCGTGTACAGCATTTCTTAATGGTTAAGTCTTCAGTTTGTGACTTCATTTGTTGTTCAAAGACCAACTTTTCTTTATCTTCAAACTGACCGACCTTCTTGGGAGCAAAAATAAAAAAAGGAACTCCATTCTTTTCCTTTGATTCCTTCACTAAATCTTGATAGATTTCTTTCAATTTTTGAAATCTACTCCGATTAACTTCATATCGAAGGTGATTGCAAGTTAAGGGTGGAGAGTTTTGAGAGGACTAGGATTTGCTTTGCTTGATTTGAAGGTGTTGGAAGGTATAACTCTTAGAAACCCCTTTGTATTCTTGAATCTTGTGATTAAGTTGTTGGATAAGTTGATCTTGATTAATTTTATGGAGTTTCTTGTGATTTGGAAGTTGGGATGATCAAGTTCTATATTAGTGATATTTCTAGATTTTATCTAAGTTATTTCATCCTTGATTTTGGCATGTATATGATTAGTAGAAACTATTCTAGTGTTAAGGTGCAATTTCTAACCTTAATTGATATTAGTGATGGTTATATGCAAAGATTAGTTTAAAAGAGCGATTTCAGTTTTTATCTTGTTTCTAGATTCAATTTGGACTGCAAATTTCTCCATGTTCTAGGCCGAACCAGCTTTTGGACAAAACATGAATGTTGTAGATATATGCGTTGGATATCTACCTGCAAATTTTCAGATCGATTGGAGTACTGTGGCCCTTTAAACCCTGTTACGCGCACAGTTTCCATTTTTCTGTAAGATATCGATTTTTGTTCATGAAAATGTATGATTTGGCTTTGGAGGTTTTCATAAGAAATGTTGGTATATGTCTTAGTTTCGTAACGCCATAAGATTCGTTTCA